TGGGGGGGGGGGGTCAGAAATCAAAAAGGGGCGGTGATGCCAAAAAGTGTGGGAAGCACTGGGCTAGGAGCACAGCAGCACTGCCCTCAGGCCGGGTACCCACCAGAGAGGAAATCAGCACTTCCCTTGGAATGCAGGGATCGGATTAGGAAAGGAAACAGGCTCCTTTGTGTTTGGAGAGAAACCCCTCTCCGCTTGGTCATGTATCTCACTTTCAGAAGAGGATTTAATTTGTAATGTAACTAACCTCCCCCTGGAAGGGATAGTCCACCGGCTTTTTATTATTTCTACTGTAGCCTCCTCCCAACATGTCAGCGAGTTTTAACTATGGGGAGTTTGAGGAATGTGTTACAGCTGGATGACAACCCAAAAGATGGGTTTTTTTTTACTTTGATCCTTTTGCTATTGTGGAGGGGAAGTATACCACGCTTTAGATCAGTATATTGATCTCCTAGTCTGTAACTCATGGGTTCCCAAACTGAGGGGGCGTGAAGAAAGTCCAGGAGGGCGCAAGGCAACCCAGCCTCCCTCCTCCCCCCCCAATCACATTTTGCTGCCCTGGTCCCGGTGCCACGACCCCTTCTCTGACCTTATCCCCATTCTTGGTACCCTCCCCGTTCCCAGTACTGTCTGCCCTGCCCTGAATAATGCTGTATTTGCAGAGCTATCAACTTTTGTGAGGACTGCTTCTCTTTCTTTTTAGAGTGCAGTGGCAATGCTCTGCCACTGCTTGCAATTTGTCCATGGTCTTGGCCTCCCATCCAACACTTATTTGCTTTAACATACTGCTAATAGCAGATAAGAGGCTATTAACAAACGCATGCGCCAGGGCGCCCTGTCCATTTTCACCCGGTTGCTGTATACCAGAATGTTGTTAAAAAAAAAAACCATCAGTCAGTCTGTGTGATAGTTGCCCCGGGTTTTTTTTTTTTTTTTTTTGCTGCTGTTTGGGGGGGTATAAGGGTTTTTCAGAAATCAAAAAGGAGGGTGTGATGCCAAAAAGTTTGGGAACCACTGAACTGGTGGCATGGTTTTGATTATCAAGCAGATTACAATAAAAGAACGGGTACAGCCAGTTCTTCCTGTAAAGAAGAATTAGGACTGATAAAAAGATGTTCACTAATGGCAGCAGTACATTTCATTTAGCAAGTATTCTAAGGAATCTGTTTAAAAAGTTTGAGTGCATAACATTTTCTCCAAGTAGCCTCCCAATGTCAATAAAAAAGAATAAGGCTTATAAACTTTATCAACTGGAGTTTGAGATGCTCTCAAATTTTACATCTATTTTTAAGGAGCACACACTTTTACCAGTGTTTCTCAACCTTTTTTTTTATTATAAAATATCTCTTACAAAAAATTCTAAGTACCCCAAGTACCTAAAGTTTTCAAACACTTTTTTTTTCTACCATTGCAATACATTTGTTTAAACAACTTAATTGTAGCTGGGTGGGCGATGACATTTTTGGGTGTAAAAAGTACAAAAATAATAAAGCTTAAAATTCAGTTCCCAATATCAGTGGTGTTGACATACCCCCGCCCCCCCAGGCTTCTCGCAAGTACTTCTAAGGGTACTTGTACCACTAGTTGAGAAACACTGCTTTAAACAATAGCATCTTTAGTAATTAGCAAATCTGAGTTACTATGCCAATTATGTGAAAGATAAATTGATTTAATAACCAAATTGGCTGAAAAGTATAAAATCTCTCTAGCAAGATAGATGCATAAAAATCCAGACATCAACATGAAACCTTTTTCTTTCACTCATACATGCAGTTGTATTATTTGATTACAAAGAATTACAAATGTGCTAGAGACCGCATCTGCTATGTCTGAACTGTTACAATCTTTTGCTACGTACCATACAGCTTAAAAACCCCACATTTTTAGAATTCTGGTTATTTGTAAATAATGTTTTGTTGATCAATGACAATGTGCTCTGCCGTGCTGTACAAAAGCAAGAGTCTGCCTTGAAGAGTTAACTGTCCTAAAAGACAGGTTTCATAGAACAATAAGGGAGTTTTATAATCGGTATACCTGTATCATGATGTTACAAGAATGTGCAACAAGGGCAAAAAGTGAATTTTTAGAAGAGCTATGAATAAGGAGAAGTTGGGACTTGACATAACGGAACTGGGTGCTCATTCTAGGCCCGGGCTGGGCAATGTGTGGTCCACCTAACACTTCGATCCGACCAGCAGATTGCATCTGGCCACTTTCTATTTATATCTTGCAGCCCACGTCATCAAATTTACAAGCAGTGGCTCAGGCAGCAGAATCCTATTTATATGGCTCCTGGCAGGGGACAGAGCCACAGCAACCCATGGCAGCTGCCAGACAACACCCTAGTGGAGGAGGCACATGCCCTTTGTGTGTTTTTAATTCAAAGCCTCTGGCCTAGACAACTCTGGGGAAGAATAGTCCCCAGCCACACCCCCTTCCACCTCAAGTCCTGCCCCTTCCTGGGTGGAGCAGGCCCATAACCACATACCAAAATTCATTAAGTCACCTCCCCTATGAAACGTATTGCCCACACTCCTTTGAAATAGCATGCAAATAGGAATGGGAGAAGGAAACTAACATTTTGGAGCTGGCATGGGTGATCACGGTAGTAACACAGGATACGTATGTGCAGCTTGTTCATCTTTTATATCTAAACCCTGTCTGATGTAAAAGAAAAGAATTTTTCTGAGGTGAGGAAGAAGGGGATTTCCTCACAATGGAGATTTGCTGAAGTCATTTTGGCAGGCACCATGGTGCAGAAACACACAACAATAAAAGACTGTCCAACATTGTTCTTAAAAATGCCTAAAAACTTTCATCTCATTCACCCTCCCTAAACTAAGAGTTTGGCTGGTCTCTCCTAACTACCTTGGCTAAGAAACTGAACCAATTGCTGTGTAGGACCCAATTCTACAATCCACTGCTGTGTCCAGGCAGAGCTCCAGTGTTCACCAGCATGCAGTGAACCACAAAATCAGGAGCTAAACATGCAGATTAAAACAAACAGAAAAAGCTATGTATTAATATCAATCATAGGTTTCATTCCTATATCCAGAGTCATGTTAAGATTAAAAGGTGCACATCTGCTAGAATGAATAGAAGCTTCAAAAAATCAGAAAGGTTCAGTTTTGTATTTAAGATTGCTATTTTAATAGAATTAAAAACAAGTGTTTTATTCTAAATTACTGTCTTCACAAAGAATCCAAGGGAACATATAGCTAACTTACAGGTTTTCAATGAATTTCAGCTCTAGCCATATAAAAATATGCAGTATAAACTGTATTGGCAATATAAATGAATTGTATATATGAAATGAAAACAAATGCCTTTAATACTTTTCATTGTATTGAACAATAGGCTTATCATGTAGTATTTACAAAGTAAAACTAGATTTTCTTAAATCTTCCACACTGTTGAAAGAGATTCTACACCTGTTTGATCCAATCTGTACAATTGTCAAACTGTCAGAAAACCTATTTTTTTTATAAACCATACACAAACAGAAGGCAGTTACACCATAATCTGCATAGTTTTTAAATTATGTTATACTCTGCCATACAGATAAGTGGCAGAGATTAATTTGAGCTTCCTTGTTCATTATATGTTCTGCACCCAATTTATCTTAACATGTCAAGATTTTTAGGAAGAGAGGGGGAGCGGAGAGAGGACGGGAAACGGACCTCAAAGCTGCTGCTCCAGATACATATGCAGAATAATGTACAAGACAGATATGGGGAAGAATGAAATTGACAGGACAAAAATAAGTGGAGATCAGCAACATGTCCTTAGAACACACACAATACAAGCAATATTCTGTATTTCCCTGAAAAAAAAATAGTGCAATTTTCTTAGCATAATATTTACTGTTTCAAATTAAGAGGCGCTTTATTGTTATGCAAAATACTATTTCTAAAATATTCCAATGTTCTCTCAACTATCTGATTTTTATCCAGCTATATGCTTTAAGTTTAGCTTTTGTACCCAAATATTTACACTTTACAAAAACTGCACAATTTCTAATAAACTATATTTTATATACTTACATAAACTTAATTTACACATATCCTATTGTATTTTGCTGTTACATTTTGTAAATCAAAACTTACATGTACAATAATTTACAAAGGTTGAAGTCTCAAGTGTCAAATATTCCCTTTAAAATAACTATTAGCTACAGTCCTTTACAAATCCTATATTGCAAAATATACCAAACTGCCTGAAAAATGTTAAAATTACCAAGTATATGCAAATATGAATTAAAACATCAAGTAGCAAGGTTTGTGCTGTTTTAAGTGCTTGTAACTCTAATGAAAAAAAAATTACCCCAAAGGAGCAAATTATAAATGTAACAAGAGGAGCATCTGAAATTAAATTTTCAAACCGGTCTTCACTGAAAGACTGAGTTTCAATGCGCAATCTATTATCTGAAAATCTTGTATACTGAAATTCCCTTAAATACTGGATAATAAATTTGTTAAAGGAATAGATTAAATGCACTAACTACAAATTTAACAGGTTCCCAACTCATTACTCATAATCTGGAGAATTTTAAACTATTTTGGTATAAAAGCTGCTCTGAATAGGCACATCTTTGAAAACATATACACAAGCTAAGTTATTGCTACTGTTGGACATTTAAGTAATGTCCTTGTGGATCTCATTTTTTAGATTTAAGAATGTCTTCTTGAGAATAGTTTTTTTTTTATTTTACGTAAATTAATGAAAGCAAAAATCCAGAAAATACTGCTGACAGAACCAAGAATCAAAAATATAGGTAGTGTTCCTCAACTAACTTAAAAAAAAAAGTTTGTAATTTTTCCTCACATCCTCATCCATTTAGTTTAAAATTTTCTTCAACAATATAAAATTAGTCTTTTTTTTTACACTACTTTTTGGCTACATACTAAGCAAATTGAATTGCTAAGTAAGTTTCTTGTCATTTAAATTCCTCTCAGATTTGCAGTTTTTCTAAACTGGAATAATTTTCAGTTTACTAGAGAAAAAAATCTATTTCTGATCACTTGCTTCTGAAAGCTCAAGAAGATAATACAAAACTTATTTTTTACCGCAAACAGTATAACTTTATATCCTGTGAATAGTCACACTGAACTTAATGGCACTATTCACAGTGTATAAGATTAAGAACATGGTTATGTCTTTGCAGGATCGGGATCTAATGATGCAATAAATTAATGCATAATACTAATGAAAAAATCAAATCAAATTACTTTCTAGTTGTATCATATTTCTACAAAATAGTCTTCTAAAGCATCCCATATAAGTCTCCCATGGTGGATAATATGTTCCTAGTCCACAGGATCTGAAAGGCACAAAATGTACTGAAGAGACTGCTCTTTCAATGTTCCAATTATGGAGACAATCCAAAACAATTCATGTTAAAAAGAGGTCCAAATATAAGGCATTCAAATATTCTTTTGTACTACAGATCTACATTAAGCACCACTTATGGTTACAATGTTCAGAGAAAAAATTAAACATTTTTCCTTCAAAAATGAGTTTGCACATGGGACATCATCTGTGAGGGAGATGCTGATGAGGCTGATGAATTGGTCATCTTAGAATTATTTGTGATCTGTAGTTCTTCAAGTCTTCTCATGTAGTCATCACGCAATGCTAGGAGTTCCATGTAACGCTGCTCCACTGGATTTGGCTGCTAGAAAAAAAAATCCAAAGCCAACGTTTACAATGTTATTTTGACCATGTTACCTCTACAACTCCACCCAACAATCCAACAGCACCCAGCATCTGCACTCTGCAGCATCCCAGTGAGGCTCTCTCAAAAGGGTTTCCTCATTTCTGCATCTGGGAAGACACCCTTCCTTATAACGAGATCTATATCCAGCTTTCTACAAAACCAATTCATATTTCATTTCAAAATCAGCCAAAAAAGCCCGCTTCTGGGTGATAAGAGGGTTATTTGTTTCCTGTTCCCCATTTTTACTCTTATGCACCTCATGAGCACCCCGAGCTTTTCAACTCCTGGGCTGTGAAGAGCTAACTCCAGATTTAAAATTCTGTCGCCTTGCTTGGAAGTGCTACAAAATCACCAGGCTAGACCAATAATATATCGGCAACTTTATCATTAAACAGGTTTCTTAGTTTGTTTTTGCTTTTTGAGAGGAAGTGTTAAATATAACTTTTGTACTAAACTTTCCGAGTTCCTCCAAAAATTCCAGTGCATTTTCTATTCGTAATTTCTCTAATGAAACACTGGACATAGGTGTTATGAAGTTTCATGAGAGTCAAGAACACAAGCTATTCATATAAATAGCAGTTCTTTAAAAGAGGGTGGGGAAATAAGCATTTCTCTTTTGAGCATGATTCCATAATACTTCAAATAATTTCAGCCTTTGGGGAGCAGATAATAAATTAAATAGAAAAGATGTACTGCACATGATAAACTTAGACACACAGGCTTTAATTATGCCTAGTTCCACAAGTGTGAAGGGGTCAGCTGCTGCTTTTTAGGTATCTCTAATTTCAGAAGTGATCCATCAGAGGCACGGTTTCAGCAACAAATTCCAGATCTCTACAGGACCACATAAAATGCCACACACCTTTAAGGATAAATTAATTGCTTTACTCCCCCTTTACACTTCATCTAATATGATGCAGTATGTTCGGTTCTGGTCCACAGGAACAGCATAAACCAAACACAGAAGTTCTGGGGTTCAGTTATCTAGAGCAGAGCTGGGGAACATTTTTGGATTAGAGGCCACTGACCCACAGAAAAAAATTAGTCGGGGGCTGCACACAAGTGAAAAACAAACTCTCACTGACATAGCCCCCAACTGAGAAGGAGGAAGATACTTCCCACATTCCCCTTGCACACTAGAGCCTCAGGGGGCCTAGCCTAGTAGATTTTGTGTGCTTCAGCCCTCCTCCCAGACCCCCCCCCCCAAGAGGGGCCCCATGGGCTCTCCAGTGCTGGGGAGGAGGGCCCTCCTGAGCCTCGGCAGCCCC